TTCCCAGTTATTAATTTTACTCAAATTCTGTTAACAAAGGGATTAGGGGTATAAATTAATGCTATCGATAAAATTTAGTGGAGGGGGGGGGGCTAATTACCTTTGCCATTAAATATTAAGGGTAGGGTAAGGTTCAGCCTGATTAGGGAGTACAAAGTTCTATGATTATACTATAGCAATCGATTATATTAATAAAAAATTCATTAGGATATTATTTATAAATATTTTCCATAAATTGAGATAGGTTATAGATCACTAAAACAAAAATCGTTAAAAATTGGGAATCTAGCTTATATCTTCCAAAAAAAAATTAAATAAAATTGAAATTAATATTAATAGATGCTAGGGAAGTAAATACTTGTATTTAAAGTGAAATTTTAAAAAATGGCTGAAAATGAAGGAAATATTAATATACCCAATTTGAAACCTAAATTGGTAATCAAATTGAGAGCAATAGTCCAGAGCGTATGTCAAACTGTAAATGTTATTTGTGAATGAATAACTATAAAATTTAATTTAGTATAAAATCAAAATAATTAGAATCATATAAATTATTTTTCATATCTACAAATGTTGTTTCTTTTCCATTTTATAGCCAAAGGCATACAATAAGTGAAGAGACTTCTAATAAAATTTATGAAGGAAACCTACTTAATAGTGCTATTTCCCTAGCAAAATCCTGCATCCATTAATTACCCTATTTTTGAAGGCAAATTGAGCTTTATAGAAGCCAAGTCGAAGCATTCGCCTAATAGATATAGGTGAGGATTTAAGCAGAATTATTTCAAAGATTATAAGCAAACATATTTTAAAAAAACTCATACATGGGTAGGAAATAGGCGCTAGGAGTTTGCTAAGGAGAAATGAGAAGCACCATTAGGTGAGCCCCTTCCCATTAATTTTATTGGAGGTCTTTAGGTCCACTTTGTAGGCCTTTGGCTATATTAGATTTTTATAAAAATAATTTTGGGTTATCACTTTTTTTAATAAAAATTCTTTCTTCAAATAGTTTTGAATTATAGTCATTATTATAAAAGTTATTAACTTTTAGTGATTTTTCTTTCAAATTCTTCTTTATAGTGATGTATAGTAAACAATTTTGGGGGAGGGGGTGGGAATTTTTTTTAGCTTAAAATAATATTTATGAAAACGGGCAAAAAAAATGGGGGGGGGGGGGGGGGGGGAGGGGATTTCCCCGCCTCCCCTAGCTATGCCTATGGGGGTTGGCATAAAGGAGGGTATGTAGATATCCACGTTTCCATTATTTCTTCGTGTTGAAGGTAATAGACTTTAACATATTTTATAAAAATAATTAAAAAAATTGGATTTATCTCTGATCAAAATAATATAAATTTGTTATTCACACCTCATAAGATGAGAAAATTATTGATTCTTCCATCATTAAATAAATAAGAAATTCTGATTAAATATTAGTCAAGATTATCTTGACTATATAAAATTCAGCAAGAAAAATTTAATAAATAAAATAGAGATGAAGAATTTTGGTGGTTAACTTGAATTAAAAACTTGGCTTAAATTATTTATAAAATTCTTAAAAAGTATTATGAATATTTAATAAAGGAAATGAAATATATTTCCTCATATTTTTTGAGAAAAAATTTAAAGTAACGAGTAACATTTTGCTTGCCGTTACTAAAAAATGAAACGCGCTACTCGTTACTTGTCACCATATTAAAGGTAACGAGTTGCGTTCCTTTCACTTAAAACTAACTGCGTTACTGTCATTAAAATTAGTATCTTGTTATTTATTTTTAATCAGTTTCATATTTTAATAGATTAATATGATAAAATTAAATCTAAAATAAAGATAGTAAAAATATAGAAACCATATTTATATATAACATTTCTATCAGGAATTTTGCCTAATATAAATATCTAAGGCCTCATTAATAAAATGTTTTATTTTATGGCACTCTAAATAATTAGAATGTAATGGGCGAAAATAGTCATTTTTTGAAGTTATATTATGGATATAGGGCTAAAATATTATTTGAATTTTTGTAATTTGGGATTTTTATTATTTATGGCCGGCCACAGTGAGTGGATTCAAATTAATGATCAAAGGAATGAAGATACATATGTGTAATCTTAGTCTAAAAGCTTTCCCGAATCTCAAGAGATTGTTGTTGGATCATCAAGTTAAATTATCTTTTAAAAATAAGTTAGGAAGATCCATGCGATTTGGATGAGCGGCTGTAGGACATAATTGATTAAATTTATTGTACGGGGCGCGATGGTATATCCTCTTATAATAGTTCATAGCCTATATATCATATATAGGTTATGGTTCAAGCCAAATAAGTAACTGATTCCGATTTTCGGATCACCAAAAAAGTTGATTTAACCGTGTTCAGGGTTTGAGATTAATTCTACATTTGGTTATTAATAAATGTCACACTCCAATTTTTCGTAAATTATAAAGTAACTATGACGAATAATCGATTTTTTTATAATTATATTATATCTGCCTGGAAGGCGCGTACTCAGCGGGGGGAAGGCAGGAGGACAAATCCCCCCACCCCCCCCCCATTCCCCAAAGCTAAAAAATGCAAATGCCGGATATATTTTTCAAAAATATTATTGTTTATATTAATTTATATTTGTTAATATTTATTCCTATCTCATATTAAATATATATTACATTTATTATCACATTCATCTACTAAGTTATTTTATCAATTAATTTCATATTTACGAATTATTTTCAAATTTCTAGTGGCGTAATATTTATCCACCATTTCCATATTTCTAGTCGTATAATATTTTTTCTGAAACTCCTTGTCCAACAGGGAGAAAAAAATTGCAAGCTTGTCCAACGAGATGGAGTCTCCGCCATCAAGCAGTAACAGCTTTTATGGAGTTAGAAGAGCCGATTATTAATGCTATTACTGAAATATCACAATGGCCTGAAAGAAATATTTCTTCAGAAGCTATAAAATTATTGGAATACTTATTTTAAATTTTTTTCTCATTAGAATGTATTATTTAATTATATGAGAATAGCGGAGAGCATTTTATTAGAACTCAAGGAAATTAGGGCTAATGTTGATGAAAAATTTCAATTTTATATGTTATTTTTGAGTCAAAAGGAGAGCTATACGTGTTTATTATTTGTCTCCCTCGACTTGCAGCAAGGCAAGCTCATCATTAAAACATTATTATAAGATCAGTAGAAAAGTATTATAAAACTATAATACAAATAAATAAATGGTTTTTAATTAATCATGCAGTACTTAACAATCTGTAGATATTACTCCCACAAAAGCCTTCCCAATCCTTTTCAGATTATAGAAAAAAATAATATTTGTTGATGCCTTATTAGCTGAATAACTATGTTTAAAAGATTAACTAAGATATAGTCCCAAAAAATGCTATGGATGCTTAGTATAATTTCAAGCATATTTTAGATTATATTCCCAATGTATTAAAATGATTATATATATTAGCAACTCTTCCCATTAGTAAACTAATGAGAGAACATTATCTTTTTTTAAGAAGAATAACAGAGCCCTGCAGAGGTACCACGGCCCGGATTTTTTTAAATAAATTATATTATTTTTCATTTTTATAGCCAATTTCAAATATTTGGTTTTAAAATATACAGCCGGCCCGGATAATTTTTTTAAAAAAATTTCGGCCCCGGGTATATTTAAAAAATTAAAATACGGTCTGGCCCGGGAACTGGGCCAGCAGTTCTCTGAAAAACATACCTAAGAAGTACAACTTCTGAAAGTGGATTGAATGGTTTGGATCTTTTAAATATTCATAAGCATTTGGCGCCAAGCAAGGATGAGTAATTGAAAAATTAGCTCAATCCCAACGAAGATTGGATTTTACATTGTAAATATATAACATACAAAATACAATTATTCCTAAGAAATTTTTTATGTATTAATATTTATATTTCCAACATTTAAATTTTTTATACTTTATATATAAATTTTAAAGGCTCAAAAAATTCAAATTTCTATTTTGGATCATTTAAGTGATTCATATGGTGGTTATATTCACTTTATATTTTTTAATTCACATTTATTTTATAGTTTATATGTGCCGGTTTATATATAATTTTTTTTTTATAATTCATATAGTTGTGTATTAGAAATTATTAGTCCTAATAAATTATTGCATGATATTTTTAAATAACAATAATATTTCTTAAAAAATTTTATTATCCCCCCCCAGCGCGCCTGCTGCCTGGCAATGTATGAAGGAATTTAGAAAAAAATTAGAAAAACATTGCAAAAAATGGATTCTCTATAACAGGACGAAAACATTTGTAAATAAATGTTTCTATTATATCACAGACATACCACCCATTTGCGATATACTACCAACTTGCTAACAATAAAGTAGAGAAAAATAGAGTTATTCGTACATATTAACAAGCTCCAAAGAATCTGATAATTTTAATCGATAAATTCAAAACCTTTATCAAGTTGTGGGAGAAGTAAAAATATACGCAATATAAAAGTAGCTGTTTTGAAAGGAATATGAAATGGTTAGTTTGGATAAGAATGAAATGGTAAAAACAAATATAGCAATAGGAAAGAATTCAAGATATTTCCAGAACAAACGTATCTTGAGTTAGAGATCTACTTGGAATCAAGGTAAAATTTAAGATTAATAAATTAAATAGCACAATAATCATTGAATAATTTATCATAAAACAATAAATACAGGATTATGAATATATAATGAGTGAATATTTTGATAGCCCTGTGACCTTCCTTATTGTTTTTTAAACTACTTTATTATTGATATGGAGTGCTTCATTAGATATTTGTTTTATTATATAAATGAATAACAAAATAGAAGGGGTTTTAGAGCGGCCTTTGATAACAATTGTTTTCCCTAGGTAGAAAAATTTGTTGGCTTCCTAGTAGTTAGTCATAAATAAAATCTATTTTCTGCTAAATATAAAATTTATCAAATAATGATCTTATTCATATAACATGAAACAATTTTTAATAATTAGGTTTGAGCAAGTGAAACGTTTATTGATGTTGATATTACAGAATATTATACATATCTAAATGATAAAATGTGATAAATTTTTTATTTATTACAAAAATTATTTGATCTTGCTTAATCGTTTTTCCGGTAATTTTCCATATTTTTTCTGACCCAATCGACATAATTTATCACTTTGGTGTATACTCCGGGTCTATTTTTTAATCCACACTTAATTCCCCATGATACGATACCTACCAATTTATAGCGTTTTTCGTTGTCTAAACAAACTAATGGGCCGCCACTGTCTGCCTTTAATATAAAATATTAAATTATATCTTAATTGCTATATTTTCGACAGAACCCATAGCATTATGGGGTTTAAACCAATTGGTTCCATGTCAATTCAGCGAAACTTTTATCGCGAAACACTTTTTCGCGAAACTTTTATCGCGAATGTCGTTTATCGCGAATGGATTTTATAGCGAAACTTTTATCGCGAATCCATAATAGCGAATACTATTCCGCGAATGCAATATCGTGAAACAAATATCGCGAATTTTTTATAGCTAAACCTTTATAGCGAATACATTACCGCGAATACAATATAGCGAAACAAATATCGCGAATTTTTTATAGCTTAACTTTTATCGCGAAATATTTAATGCGAATACATTACCGCGAAACTTTTATCGCAAATCAATAATCGCGAAAATTTTATAGCGAAACTTTTATCGCGAAACATTTTAAGCGAATACATTACCGCGAAACTTTTATCGCGAATCAATAATCGCGAAAATTTTATAGCGAACCTTTATCGCGAAACCTTTAAAGCGAATACATTACCGCGGAACTTTAATCGCGAAAATTTTATAGCGAAATTATTATCGCGAAACCCAAATCGCGAAACCCAAATCGCGAAACCCAAATCGCGAAGACAATGTAGCGACAATTATTTCGCGAAACATATATCGCGAAGATATTATAGAGAATTTAATATCGCGGTAATTGCTAATAATGACTAATTTATTTTGAATCATTTTTTTATAATTATATTATTTGAATAATATTTTTTTAATTCACATAGTTTGTAATTTTCTTATAACCTTAAAAAATTTTTACAATGATTAATTAACTTAGACTGGTTTATGAAATTTGTTATTGAAATACACTTTTTTCGCTATCCTATCCTTTCCTTCGAAGTTCTTATTTTATAATAATCGCGCACAAAGAACTCAGCTTTATCAATATATTAATCAGAGTTTATTAGTTAAATCTTGATATTTATTGGCGAAATTGATATCTGGGTAGCATTCCTATTTATTGTCTGATGACTTAATATTTATAAATTTATCAATCAATTTTGGCCAGGGTTAGCAAGTCAGTCAAATGACCAGTCAAATGACTAGATTTTGACGGGTCAATTGAACGGGAGAATATTTGACCTGGTCAAGTGGTCATATATTTTATAAGATCTGAATATAAAAATATGTTTGAAAAAGAAAAAACGATATAAATACATGTGAAATGTGATCACAATGCTTATTGAGTTCCTAATATTAAGGAGAGCATTTTAATCGAATCCCGGAAAATAATTCCCCGGAAAAAAAATCCCGGAAAATAAATCCCCGGAAAAAAAATCCCCGGAAATTAATTCCCCGGGAAAAAATCCCCAGGAAAATAATTCCCCGGAAAAAAAATACCCGGAAAATAATTCCCCGGAAAAAAATTCCCCAGAAAATAATTCCCTGGAAAATAATTCCCCGGAAAAAATTCCCCCACTATATATTGAATTGCTACATTGCTAAACTGCTTTGCTAAAAAGCAATCAATAAATTGTCTCCCGAATCCAGAAAAAGATTTCCGAATGAAGAGAGTATCAAGAGGACACTTAGAAATCGCAAAATAAAAAGGTTTCCTCCTATTCCGGCCACATTGGAAGAATTAAGCATTTCAGGTTAAATCATATTTATCTATAAATAACTTTTAATTGGAAATATCTTTTAATATTAGAGGAGTGGGCTACAACCGGATCTCCCACAAATGAGAGATTTCTTTTGCATGATAATGGCGGAGATTCTAATGAACGGATAATTATATTTGCCACCGATTATATGCTTAAAATGCTAGCCGAAACGAAAACTTGGTATATAGACGGGAATTTTAAATTGGCTCCTCATTTATTTTTGCAGCTATATGTAATTAGAATACCCTTTAAAACACTGTTTATAACAGCGGTATATTTCTTGTTACAAAGAAAAACGTATACAACATATGAAGAAATTTTTAAGATTTTACTCGAAAAAGCCCAAGAACGGAATTTAGTCATAGATCCGATAACAATTTTTATGGATTTTGAAAAGGCTGCAATCAATGCCGTCGAAAATACTCTAGGTTTCTTTTTACGATTTAATTACATCTATATACTATCGAGATATGCTAGGACCTTGATTTTAAAATGTATTTTGGACCGTGGAACTTGAAATTTTTTTTAATTCTAATTTCCCTTTTCTGTTGTTTTTAAGAATATTTTAAACGATTTTTTTATGAGTGTAGGATGAACGAACCCATTTCTAGTAACACTGTGTGACAAATTTTGACTTGATTTTTTGGGAGAAAATAAAATAAACATGTTTTAAGACAGTAAATTCTTAGAAAATAATTCTTCAGAATTAATTTTATCAAAATTTTTAAATATTTTATTTGAGAATTATTATTTCGTTGATTTATTTATAGGGAATTTTTTCTCCTAATTTATTAATTTTGTAATTTTAATTATCTTATAAACGGAGATTTTTTTTCCGAGGAATTATTTTTCTAGATTCTTTTTTAATATAGCTTACATTTAATATATTTATTGTGGCTTTCGTTCTCTTCGCTACACTGCACAAGGTATGATTCCCAAACAATTTATTTTAAATGAAATAGTTACATTTCTCATATTTAAATAAATATATTATGCTAAGCTAACCTATCTCATATTTTATTTTTAATAAACCTTTTATCGGTCTGTTGTCTCACCCCCTCCTTCATTATTATATAGGATTTAACTTGTAATATACAATAAACTTATTGAATTTAAAACAAATTAAACAATAACTTAAAATTTATCGAATTTAAAAACATTTAATGGTAAATCTAAATATATTTCCGCGAATATGAAGTTGATGATTTATTTTCAAAAAAGATAGTCCAGCAGTAGTCCGCCAACATATTTATACGATTCTTGCCGGGAATTTAAATTGAAAACTTAAGACCCCCAAAACGAAATTCTTTACCATTTTTCTCAAAAAGCAATCGATAAAAAATTATAAAAATTAATAAATTTATAAGGAAATATAAGTCTAACACTATCACCAATTTTCAGGGATTTTCATTTGATACTTTTTAAAATATATCCGTATAAAGACCTAAATTTTACCATTTTTGAGATTTCGAAAAGTTGCCTTTATACGATAATATTTTTAAAACTTGACGTGAAGGGAAAACTTAGAAAACGAATTCTAACTCAATGTCAAATTCTGCACCAAAACTTGTTTTTATTTATTTTTTCTCCCATTTTTCTTGTCAGTGTAATTAATAAAAATTGATAAAGACATAATAATCTATATTTTTTCAACTTTTAGGTAGAGATATCAACATCCAAGGATGTTTTTATCATCTAACTCAATCAACTCATAGAAAGATTCAGGAATTCGGGTTAGAATCATCATATCGGAATGATCCAGTGTTATGCTTATTTGCAGCTATGATCGATGGATTAGCATTCTTACCTATACACGATGTCAAACGAGGTATGGAGTATTTAAAAACCATTGTATCGGATGAATACAAAGAATTATTGTTTTATTTTGATAAAAATTATGTGAATGGAGAATTGAGACATGGGAAAAACTCTCAAAGGCAAGTAGAGCCATTGTTCCCACCAGAAACATGGAATGTGTTCAATGTTACGATTGCTGGGGAAAATCGAACAAACAATGTATGTGAAGGATGGAATAACCGATTTAAGCATATTGTAGGCAACAAAAAACCGAAGATATGGGAACTACTCGAAAAAATAAGGATGGAAATAGCGGTTGATATGGGAAAAATCGGCCAATGGAATATTGGGACATACACTCCCAAAAAAAATCGTATTTATGCAACGAAACAAACTATTTTAAAAAATTTATGCATTGATTATTTAGAAGAGAGAAGGGACTTGCCCAATTTTCTCTCTTCAATTGGAGAACATATACGTTCTAGAATTGTTTCTTTTGAATAATATAATTTATTATTCTATATATCATTTAATAAAATTATAATTATTTCTTTTCTGTAACTTTTGAAAAAAATTCATAAGCAAAATAATAATTGTTAGATTAGAAAAATATAATACTCACTGCTGATAATCACCTCTGGATGTATTTTGATTAAAGTGGTCAGCATTTTCATTACTTTTGGCAGTGTTTAATTAAAATTGGGCAGTAAAAAATATAATTTTGCAAGTTTTATAGTGATTTTGTATTCAGTCAGTTAAATTCTTAAAGTAGGTAAATACTTCAGTAAAATAATTTTTATCAAATAGAGGGTATCAGATTGAATTGCTAATTTCCTATTTCGCCACAAAATTTATTAAATTATATTATTTAATAGTTTATCCTTGTAAAAACAAAAGTGGGCGCTATTTAAGAGTCAGTAAACTGTGAAAAGCCTTTTATCATATTTCTAAAAAAATGATTAAAATTTGTGTAAAAATAATTTTTCAATAAATACCTAAAAGTTGATGAAAGTGTGTAAAGGTGAACTAGATTTATTTAACTTTCGTTTTATTATTTAAAATCTCAAATCCTCGAAGAAATTTGACTTTAAAAAACATTTCTATTTAATTAAATACTGCAGAGCAGATCTGGGTCACGGGATTTATTTTCCGGGGAATTATTTTCCTAGATTCAAATTTACTAGTAATATAATTTGAAAATTGTTCATTTTTGTTTTATATATCTATAAATACATATAAAACATAATCCCAAAAAATTATTTTCAAAATATTTTTTAGGATAATGCTAAGCACGTAAATATACACGTATAAAACAAAAATGAAGAGATTTTGATAAATAACGCCAGCAATATTTACTTTAGAAAATTTCCATTGTTTTACTATTCTAAACCTACTCATAAATTAAACATTAAAGAAACCTAAAAATTTTTTTTAATTTTTAGGTTTTTCATATGTATATATACCCAAATATAAAAAAAAGTGCTATCCAATCATCATTCCGTTTCCTAAAATGATACATATTAAAACATATAACGCCCTCTTACGGATA